CTCGTCCGAATTTTCTTCCTCCGGCTCCGAAAACTCCTCATAAACGAACGTCTTAATACTATTTATAATGTCCAGCGGTAGGGGGGAAGACGGGCTCCTGAAAAAGCAATTCCTGATCGAACCAAATAGTACTACCCATACCACTCCTTCGGCTCTTCCTCCATCATAGACTCTCCCTCATCAACCTACAGTGAGACTCGTCCGATCCTACACCGCTGAGTCAAAGTACTACATGGTCATCATCATCACCATGAGAGTCGTCCTGAACGGAAGAGCTGCCTTGTGCTATAGTGACGCTCTTCGGGCTCTGGTTACTCTCACTCTCCCAAGTATCGGAACACTCTAGGGAAACCAACCCTACGACATAGGAGGGTTATCACTGCATCAATATTGCTGGGGAGTACCGGCTCTGGAGGAGTCCTCTCCTGATGGGCTCTCTAGTTCCGCAATCCGCCGACGTTCCCCCCGATAGCCATAGCCCGACGGAGTGCCACTTCCAACAGGTGTAGAAGAACGTAGCTTCTTATTACTGCCACTATGTGATGGAGATGGCCGATGATGGTCCGAGGACTCGGAGGACCTATAGTGCAACGATGGCGATACTGAGAGGGAAGCTTCCGCACTCACCCGCGCCTCTTCCGGCTGCTTCCAGGCGCCCCTGATGCGGCTGTGAGGCGGACCACTCTGTTGGAGGCCGTCTTGGACTTACTACCACCTTGCCACTTGGGCTGTAGGATACACCGAGTGACGCCGTCTACCGTCTCTCGACGCATAAGGGCATAAGCCTACTAGATAGTTCCCCTTATTGTCACCCTACTGTTAGGAGGTAACTCTACACTACGATGTCTCAAGAAACCCCTAGGACGTACCCTACGGTTTCGAAGGAAGGCATATAATGACGATCTCTTATCCTCAGATTTCGATACAGTGATTACTACTGGGCTGTTGGTGCCTCAAGCAGTCCAGTAGGAATGTGTGGGCGGCCCATCAGGCAGTTCGCTGAGGTCCGCAATAGACCTCCCGTGAGAGTATCCTTCCCTTAGCAGAGGAATGCAACCGTCCTCTAGCGAGGCAATACTGAGACTGAGAGGATGGAGTAACAACAATTCCGACGGTGACATGGTCACGAGTGTTCGACGCAAAACGACACGAATAAAAAATGGAAAAATACCGCCGCCGGGGATCGAACCTCCGGCCGATGGTAATATGATAATGCCACCACCGCCACCGCATTCATAGACCATACCAGATTTAGGACTGATTGACAGGTCCTCGTCTAATCGTATATGTATTGATTTCATCGTATGCAATAGTGGAATTGCAACCTGCCATGCATAGGCGTGGGGACGCGTAGGGCGCAGCTAAGGTCTGTTCGCGCGCGACACAGAAATCGATGACGGACCTTCTAACAGCGTTTCTGTTCACTAGTCTGTGTTAATTATTCATTTGTATTATTATGATTCCCCCTCGAGGTTCTGCTGGTGGAGCTTCTAACGAAAGTCAGTAGCAGCCTCCTTCCAGTGCCCCTATATGATGCCTTTTTCAGTGCTCTTGCTTCCTCCCTGAGCGACACGTCTGGGTGCGTCGATGCTTACTTCAGCATCTCCCATAGCCAGCAACCCCAAGCGGATCTGTCGTGGGGCCA